TTGATGATAACATTACAATATTTTATATATATGTTGACATAAAAGGGCAAAGCATATCTTGACATTAATCTATATATTACGTGTGTTTATTTATATAGTATTGGGCAATATGTGTAATGAGCCACATAAAAAAAAAACCCCAAAAAACAAAAAAAAAACTTATCCGTATTCTAATGAATAGATCGTGGAGAAGAATACGACAAAAACTGAGCAGTTTCTTAAAGGAAATGAAACTGCGAATGCTATATTTGAGCTCAGAATGATATTAGAAAGAGCAAAACGGCTTATGTATGTATGCATCAAAGATTATTCTAAATTTTTTGATACGAGACTAAATTAAAAATTGGTAAATTGCTAGATATGCCTGACCAATTTTGGAAGATATCAGAATAATCCAGAGCTTATACTAGAAGACAAACCTCCTAAATGTGTCTTGGAAAGTATTTAACTATATACGCAAAAATAGAAAGGGACGTAAAACAACGATGTGTCTTCTCACCAAGCTGATTCAAACATTACATAAGTCATACCGAAGAGAAAGCGGGAAGAAAGTAGACATAATTTGTGGAAGTCATTAAAAGTAACAACTCAGGATACGAAATACGAATATGCGAATGTCGAAATTAAGGATGGATGAAATTTTAATATCTAGGAAATATTCTGACATAGGGCAGAGATCCGAAGGTGGACTGGAATAGTATCATATGCCTGCCAAAAAACAGACAGAGAAACAGAACAATCTTGTTATAAAAAATAGTTCTAAAATATTGCGTAATATCAGATTCCTGGTTTATTTCAGTGAATTGTAGATAACATCTGCACAGAGAAAGGAGAGATATGCGACGATATAAATCTGGTTTCAGAGAAGACTGTTAAGAACCCTATGGAAATAATATATGAATAACGAGAAAAAGTTAAGGGAGATTAACAAAAAAGAAAGACGCTTATACCAAGAATCAGAAAGAGGCAGTTAAAATTTCTAGGACACATAATGTGTAAAGAGGACCTGGGATATCTGACATTCACAGGTCAACTCGCTCCTAGCGGTTATAAAATTGTCTTGCATAAGCTATGCGCAGTGACGTCACGAGAAATTCTCCTCGACTGACACCAATGGACTTCCATTGACTCATTTTGTACTTGCACTTTCCTTCGACGGATCTCATTGACGACCATTTTTGTCAATAATTTGTCCTAAGTATTTGATTTTAAGCAAAAGAAATTCACACTTCTCCTCGCTGAGTTTGAACCCATATTCTCGTATTTTTTTCAACATGAACAGCATGTTGTCCCTTAGATGAACTTAACATTAATATATCATACAGATAAGAAACAGCGAAATCATAATCTGCAAGCATAGTATCCATAGCTTGTTGGAATATAGCTGGAGCCATTTTATCCCAAAATCGAAGTCGATTAAACTTATAAAACTCATTCCGCGTATTTATAGTTATAAACTCTGTACATTCTTCTTGACCTATATTTTCAAATACGCTTCAGAATGATCCAGCTTCGAAAAAAACTTTTTGCAACGTTCAAATTCGCAATAATTTCCCGTGGACTTGGTAATGGGTAATTATACAATTCTAAACATTTGTTTAACCCTGTTGAAAAATCAACGCAAAGATTATATTATTTTTTTCACTTTACACACAATGATGATGCTGCACATTTTGATTGGTCATTTTTTTTTTCAGTTGCATCTATTTTTTTAAATCTGTCTAATTCTGGTTGCCTTGATCTAATGCTGCAAACGTTACATTAACTTTCGGTCTAATGACATCCACAATTTTTTTCACTTGCAATTTAACTTTGACTTTTAAAGAACGAGCCATTTCATTCGACAGAACAACAGTCAAATTTTTTTTCAATTCTTCCTTTAAATTTTCATAGTCTTTTTTTTAACTGGTAACAACTACTAACATTTTCAAATATATATTTATAGTTAAATCTCACAACTCACATGATTCCATTCTCTGAAATTTGCTCATACTTTTCTAAATACGTAGAAAATGTGATGACATCATCTGAACATTTTGTGGATTCAGCTATGGCATTTGCAACAGCATAGGAGTGGAAAAACTAAGGGGATTTTCCGTTTTATTCAGTTATTTCAATTAAATATTGTTGTCTCTGAATTTAAGTATTAAGTGTAAGGATTCACTTAGTTTTGCACATCATAATTTTTTAATTGATATTTATATTCCAGCTTGATAAACACTTTTGAAAGTTGTAACTGATTTAATAAATGTTTTCCTTAATGAATATAAAAAAATTGTTGATCATCATCAGAAAGTGACCATTTTTTTAAATATCATTTTTGCGGTTCCCTGACTTTTGAAAAGCACTATATATATATATATATATATATATATATATATATATATATATATATATATATAATGATACTACACCGAAAACATGTAAAAATCGCTAGATATTTCCTGTCGTGTTCCAATGCATATCAATGCATCTCATCAGGCGAATGAAAATTACTGATAAGTGAACGACTTATTTATATTTAAAAGCAAAATACTACAGTTCTTTTTAAATAAAAAAATAAACAAAGGCTTTGACTTTGGAAACTGCCAAAGAATATTCTAACGTCTCCAGCGAATAGACAAATGTAATAATGAACTGTCGAAGATCAGTTATCATTCACATAAAGAACAGTGGATTAAGATCTCTGATGATTACTTTTCAAGGGGATCATTAGATTCTGCAGTGTCTTCTGATCTGATGGATTTATTTAATTTATATAACGTCTCTGCCTATGAAGGTATCAATGTTGATAATATAGAGATGATGGACTTATGGTTGTATAAGATCCCACTAAATTTATGTTAGATAAATGAAGAAAAATGATTTATAGAAATTAAAAATTTTAAATATTAACGTTAAGATAACTACTAATGTTAAACAGGTACATTTTCTTGATATTATGTTAGATTTCAGTAATGATGTATTTCAACTTTATATGAAAATTAATGCCAGCCCATTTTTTATTCACCCCTATTCTAACCACCTTCCATCTGTAATCAAACATATTCCTTGGGCTGTAGAACGTAGGATTGACACCCACTCATAGGAAAAAGGTGGGTTTGATAAATATAGCGGTGTTTATAATAAAGTTTTAAAGAATAGTGGTTATAAGTACGCTGAAATCAAGTTTAAAAAATATGATGATCGATGTCCACATAAAAGAAATAGAAATAAGATCATTTGGTACACCCCCACATTTAATCATTTAGTCTCTACTAAGCTAGGCCAGAAGTTCTTTTATTTGACTGATAAACATTTTTCTAAAAGCAATAATCTTACCAAAATATTTAACAGAAATATTAAAACTAAGTTTTAGCTACACAAATAATTTTGAGAAGATTATAAAGTTACACAAAATTAAAATTTGAAATCAATTTAATAATCTGGATCATAATACACATTCCAAGATAAATATTATTAATGGTATTGGCCAATATAATTTTAGAAATGCTGAACAATGTCCATTCCTAAACAAAGGTTTAACTAAATCTCTTGTTAATCTCTGTACTGTCTCTACAATATGGAATCCGGCGGCTGAAAAATTCTCTATCTACTAAGAAATATTTTCACTCTAGGTGTTATCAAAATATCTTGTCCTTCACTAATACTGCTTACAAAATAATACATCACTTTCTAAATATTTTATGGAAATTAAAAGATGATAATACGACTCCTAAGGTGAAAGGAAACATTTTAAAAGCGGCAAGACATGTAGATTTTTATATGAAGTCTGCTTTATTTTCTCACAATGAAATCATCAGAGTTTTTGACATTATTAAGTCAAAGAAGTGAATTAACAGTAAATTGTAAGCATAATTTACCTTGTACATTACAATTCGCTTAAACTTTGGAATTTGATAACGCTTTTTCTTTAGTTTTACTTTTATTTTTCCTGCGTTGCACTATATATTGCTTATCTTGGTATTGGTAAGATTTATAAGAATTCTGGCCGATGCAAAAGAAAAAAAAGGGAATATATTTTTTTCTTTGAGTGATAATTGTAAACTGAGGCCAGTCTAGCCACACCCACACTGCCGAGCGCTCAATGGCTGAATGGCGGCGTGAGTGATGTGCGAAGGTAAACATATGAGAAAGAAGGGAAACCTGTTGACGCCCTCTGAGGGGATTGGTGTGAGATACCAATATGAGAAAGGAAGAATTTAGGAGGACAATTTCCTTAAGAACCACTCTAAAACAGAAAGTAATTGACTTCCAAAAATGTCAAGTGATGGATTTTCCTGTCCGAAAACAAAGAAAATCCTTATTGCGGATTTGGAGTTATCGAGGGACCCAAACCACGACAGGCCCCCACCCGGTTTTGGTCGGCGTCCATATAAACGAACGTCCCCAGAGTAAATGACAGTTCAGAGTCACAGTTGGAATCACAGAGTTGAGTTGCAGTTGAGCAACCTAAGATCAAATCACAACATGGGTAGGTTAGACTAGAAATCAAAGCAGTTACTTCGGTGACAAGAAGTTGTAAGCGAGCTAGGAACAACAAGGCTGATATCGAATCTAATCAGATTTCTATCCGAACCAGCCAAGGTTTAGATCGTCACAGGATAGCACAGGAGCAGGACCAGGGTGACGTCAGAATGAAGGGCAACTATTGGACCGAGAATTTTCTATCACTGATCCACATCCATGATTCATAGTTGGAAGAGGGCAATCAGCGTTTTAAGCTTCCTTGGGCTGCCGACACACATAATCTCGCTCTGAATTTGGAAAAAAGAGAAAAACTGGAGTCGTCTGCGAATATAACATACTTCCCTGGTCTGCAGACCAGGCATTGTGATCTCTGCACCACTTCAACCTCCTCTGAATGTTGCGAGGGGAGAGAAGAGGTTTCCTTACGGTGGCTCTTCCATGATATTCAGACTTATGGAACTCAACGACGAATAGTTTTAGTAGAAATTGGACTATTCAGATGATTATTCAACTCAGCAGTCACTTTGACCGCAGTAGTCCGATTATTTTTTCCACATTGCGTTTTAATGCTTTTCGGACCCTGTCAGTAAGCTTGCAAGTTCCGCCCGAAATGCTACGGTTGCTAGAAGTTTCTTGAATTGCTCCATAGTTCTTGATATTAAATCTCTTGAAAGATCAAACAATTCAGCAACCTTAGTAATCGAGGCTCCTGCTATGCGAGCCCCAATAATTTGCTCTTTTTCGAACTCAGAGAGGTCACGCATTTACTTTAAATTTTACTCAATTCTAAAAATAAATAAGACAAAGACAGTAAATTAGATAAATAAACGTATTTACAATAGATATAACCTGAAATTACGAAGTTTTAGTTAAAGTTCTTTATATAATACGTTTTAAAATATAGGAGTGGAATTTGCAACTGTTCCAATCATTTTGTCCAACCCCTGTATCTCTCATATGTGTGTATGTATTTGTGTGCGTGTGCGTTGAAATTGCAATTTAGTCGAAACTTCATATGAATAAAGTGTTTGTAGTAGTGTTGCATCGTTAATTATTCTCGGTAATAATATCAATTTCACAATATTCTTGGTGATTTGTGTAATGATCTCAACATGAAGACATTCTCTCATACGAATTCAGCGTTATACCAAGCACATCATGTACTTATTTTTAGGAGATACTCGTATTTTGAGTACACGCTCCGTTTTATTTTAAAAACTATTCATTTCGTTTACCTGGCTGCACCCGCGAGAAAAACTTACTAAAATATATGTGCCTCCGGTAGGAAAATCTATTAATTCTTTAGAAATTTTATTGTTTATAGTTCGGATACAGAAACGGAACAAATACGAATTTCGAGTGAGTGTCTTTTAATGGTAAATATTATCTTGCTTGATTCTGAAACTGGACTTTTCAATCATTTTTTCTCCTGCAAGGCGCATTTACTTTAATAAGTTTTCTCGCGTTCCCAGACCAGCAGCCGAAATAAGTACTCTTTAAAATTAAATTGAGCGTCTACTCCCATACGGGTATCCAACAACAATAAATTTTGAAGCAATAATAATAATAGTTTATTACTACTTTATACACATACGCACGCGCACACGCGCAAACATATACACGGCCATGTGTGGCGAACATTTAGGCGAGATTATTTTCCACACATAATAAAAGAACTTGATCCAATATGGAAATAAATAAATTTTTACAAAAAGTGTTAAGATACTATTATGTAAATTACCATTTTCACCTAATAAAATTAAATTTGTAGGATTTTTCAAACAGTAAATTGATGATAATTTTTTGAAATAAAAGAGAAAAAAAAAAACAGAAAAAGAGTTGAGGAAAGAAAGGTTTGAAAACATGGAAAAAAAGAAAATGAATAAAAAGAAAGGTAAGGTGGCAAACAAACAGGATGTAGTGTAATTCTTGATATGTGGAAAATGAAGAGAGAAAGAGAAGGAAAGGAGAGAAAGAGATGACTTATTTAATTTACCCACTATAAATAGATAGTAGATAGATCAAATGAACTTTTAGAAATAAATGAAATATTATATAAAATAAGAGATAAACCCAAAAATATGAAAGAGAGAGAATTCAGAATTAAAGAGTGTTAAATTAACAAATATATCAGAAAAAATATTAAGGAAAATATAAAAAAAATAACATAATGCAGGGTGGGAAAATAATCATTATAAGATTAATACATCCAGATTAATATATATATATATATATATATATATATATATATATATATATATATATATATATATATATAATAAGTTTTTATATATATATAAAATTAAGTTTCAAATATTTTTTCTATATATATATATAAAATTAAGTTTCAAATATACTTTTTTTATTGTGGACGGTATTAATACCCGTCCACAATGAAAAAATATATTTGTAATTTAATATATAATATGATATAAAAAACATTCAAAGTTGGAAAGAATGAATGAAAACTGCCCCAAGATTAAGGAAAAAAAGATGCCTTTAGCATAAATAGATAATACTATATGACAGAATAATATATAGATATATTAATTAATTAATTAATAGTAACAAAAGTTTTAAATAAATAAAATTATCACAAAAAACCTTAACTGAAAAAAAAATTAATATAGAACAAAAATAAACCAAAAATATATCTAAACGTCTTAAAATTTATCCTAAGTTAAATATTCAGATGCATCAAGCCTTATATTATGATATACATTAATATAAAATACTTGAATACCACTTATCAATATATTAACATATGCACAACATAAAATATCAAAAAGCCGCATAATATTAAAACGTAACTAAATAATTAAAATGAGTCATCCAATTGACTGAGAATAAATAATAAAAGAAATATAAAAAATATATATAAACCAATATATGAAATAGACCTTTTGAAACATAATTATATATTCTTACATAATAACAAACTAACGCAAATGTTATATTAAGGTATATTGTTATTAATATATAATATTGTAGAGAAATTATAATACTTATATGTAAAGAATAATTCAGGATAATGTAATAAAGATATCTTAAGGTTTAGAAAAAAAGGAAAGATAATGTCAATAAGTGTAATATTGATGATATTATTGATAGTCACCAAGTAATTATAGTAATGTAGTGAGAGAAAAAAGATATTTTTGTACATTGTATCAGAAGAGAAATTTGGGAAGGATATATAACGAAAAGAGGAGAATCGGAATATACAATGTAATTGTCAAAGACAGCAGCTCATGTAGTTATAAAAGAATAACAGTTCATTCAAGTTGCGTCAGGAAGGAAGAGGACCTCGAATTCACAGGTAATTTTCAAAGGATGTCAATTCATGCAAGATCGTTAAGGATATAGATAAGTTTAAATCTATTACGATGACAGTATTTAGGAAATAGTTCATTCATTTGGTTTAACAGTATCTTTGGATTTCTAAATTTAATAATTCTAATTTTTTTTTGTAATGATTCTTACTTAATTGTTGTAGAAGACCTTAACCTAATTTGGTGATTTTTCATTTATAACAGAGCCAACGCTCTTCTATGGACCCATAAGTGATTCTTAAGTCCAGCTTCACGTTTAAAACCTGTCTTACGCACATGTCAATCGTAAAGATTTTCTGTGTTATCTATGTTTGAAACTTGCTTGTGTATAGTCATGTGACGTTTGAGTCCCGCAACGGATTTACAAACCTTGTTACAAACTTGCGTATGTAACCGGTACGTCATTCTCGTACAGTTGCATTCACTGTAGTTTCCACGTGACCTCTTTGGTATTAGCTCATCTAACTGGCTAAACTATCTTCCACAAATACTGCAAATGTGGTGGTGCTCTAATAACTCCGGGACGGATTCTATTTCTTCCTTCCTAACGACACAATTTTTGTTGTGTTTTGTATATATATATATATATATATATATATATATATATATATATGTATGTATATTAACTGACCACTCATATTCGAGGATACCCGTCTATTAGGACGGTTAGGAAATCTCTATTTTAGACGCGCGCTCAGGCACATTTTGTATTTGTTCAACACCCACAGAGCCAACGTGTGGTTTATACTGCAACGAGATGAGTAGACCTTAGTTACATTTTCTGGGAAAGAGCATGTTATTTAGCGTGATCAACAATATGAACAAATCCTCGGTCACGATTACTTGTCAGTTCGTGCTATCACAGCTATCGATGATCCCCAAGAGTTCCGTCTACCCATGGCGCGTGGCCGTGTCGTTAGAACGTTCGCTTTCTGACCATGAAACCCTGGTTCGTATCTCACCACGGTTGATTTTTCAGAAAGTAGACTTCCTGGTGTAATCGGTATGGAGTGCGCAATCCCTGCGGGCGTTACCTTTAGAAAGTGCTTGAAAACAGTATCACCCGTTCATCCAAGCAAGCATTGTGAGTGGAATATATATATATATATATATATATATATATATATATATATATATATATAATTATTATTCAAAAATTATAACATAAATATGTTATATACTCACTACAAAAATACGCATTTTGTTTCAACACTTCTGGGGTCTTATCAAGTAATGGTGTTGAATGTATTCTAACGTAAAATCCCTGCTTCCGGCAGCTATATCCTGTCTCACCGGTTACTGTGGCCGCTAAAAGAAAACCATCCGTTCCTCCTCCGGTGAGCTGAAGGAACCACCAGTATTCGCCACGTTGTGAGTTTTTGATCCGAACAGCAGTGTTCCGATCCTCCAGAACGGTCCGATGGTAAAGGATCAAATGGCTGGGCTCTACGCTAAAAGGAATCGCAATTCGTGCAGAAAAAGTTCTTGTCGTAACCGCAAGAAAATAAAAAAAATTGAGCAACACTTTCGGTTCCTGTATAAAGAGCCTTTTAAGGCTACTGCTTTTATGTCACTACCAAAGACATTGCACGAATACAAAGTGTCTTAACGAGATTCACTCGTTTGTGTCGGAAAGTCACAGAGAGAGAAAGACGCTTATTATGCTGATAGGAATTCAGCTAATATAAGGGAGGTAATTCGTGGATCTTCGTCTGCAACCTATGATATAGCAGTCTGCTTTCTCACAGCTTTGTTGACGAAGTTTTCTGGATTCGTACGGGTTCTATTTCCATCTCTTGGTTCGGATCGGTCTTCCTTGAAGCAGGACAACCAACAAACCACACCAGCAAAATCAACCAAGCCGTTTTCCGCCGCTTCTCTCCGCTCTCTCTCCGCGTTCTCCACGTTCTCTTTAACTCAAGCGCGCAGGCGCCTTGTATAGAGTGGGCGGAGCTAAACAATTTTTAGGCACCGCCCACGAATTTTAATATGCACATCGTCTTGACCACCATGTATTTCCGCCTAATCTCCGAATCTCTGCGGGAAAATAGTTCTCAAGTGGTACTAAAACTGAATTTGGATTCCCTGCTGGGTTTTTCCGCACACATCATCCAATTAAGCCTTGCGGAAAGTACTTATCTCGTTTAAAAACTTTGGCTTGATTTCGTCTTGCAGACCACCCAAAAATCCAATTCACCATT